ATTACAACAAATTTCTGAAACACAGTGGAGCTGAAAGTACAAATTTATAATTTGTGCTTTCCTAAATCTTTTATATTATTAACCACTCAAACAGATAATCAGTTTTGACATTTAAAAAAATTCTGTTATAATTCTAATCCACAAGCACTATCTACTAGGAAACAGTCTGCTACTTTAAATGCTTTGAAAATATAGTAAGCATGTATTCATATTCTTTTGCAATAGAAAATAAGAGAGTTTGCAAGGTAATATTTTCATCTTCTTATTCCAAAACTAAGGATGACAAAACAGAGGAAAGAAATGTAGTAAAAGGCGCTGGAATGGTGGTATCCTCTATGTTTGCTTTGTTTTTCAAGATCAGTCATCTGAAAACTCCGGAGAAAGGAGTTCTTGTCCGTCAAAGGTATGATGCTTTAAGGTCTTTGGAGAAAGTGGAACTTGGTGTAGTACTGTAGTTCTCTGAGAGCCATCCTGCTGGACCATGATCAGTTCTCACTACTCTGCTTCCTCTTTGCTTGTCCAGTGAGGACCCAACAGTCACTTAACAGACTCTTCTGACAGACCAAAATCTATGAACATGACAGCTCAAAAAACTAATACTTGAAAGTCCTAATACTCCTACAGAAGCATGAAGCCTACACTCAAACCAGTGTGTAGAAATACTTCCAAAAAACATCTTGAGCTGCAGAGAACAGCACTGAAACAGAACTGAAGCATTCTATAAGTTACTAAACACTTTATAAAGGTATAATACAAGAGATTCTTTTTGATACCAATAAAGAAAGGAAAAAATCATGATTGCCCAGCATCTGAAAAAGAAAAAACAGCCTCTTGCTCTTATTCCATCATTCCCTTCCATCACATTCAGAAGGTCACCCCACACAGCTGGGGCTGAAATTCCCATCTCTAACTCAGGACCATTCATCAGTCACCTACTTCTGAATTGCTTCAGTTCATAAAGACATTGACTTAAATAGTTCCCTCAAAACAAATATGTGGCATGCCACATGACACCTTTCAAAGGTCAACTGGCTGTTCTTCCTAAGTTTTTACTCAACCATCAAACATCACTTTTCTTGACAAAATACTGGTGTGCATTCTGACCATGATCACAGACAATAAAACGGGTCAAGCTTGACCAGTGCTAAGAGAAGCTGGTGTTGAAAGGAGTGTGGCAGAAGAACTGGTACTACTTCATGTCCATTTAATTGACTTAACATAGAATTATTTTAGAGCAAATACAAGAAACTGGAACAAGCAAAGTCCTGGTAAGCGAAGACTGACAGGTAGGAACTTACTAGAGGAACTTCTGTAGCTAGTTATGAGAGAATTTTGAACTTTTCCAAGGATATTCTGGGTCATTAATTAGAGTTACAAAATCAGGAAAATCCCCAGACAATAGTCAAAAGGCAATGAAATTCCTCAATCTGAAGGAAAACACAAGATGTAGACACACAGTTGAAGTGTCAAAATCATCAAATCAATGCTGAGCTGTAACACATGAAAGAGCTGTGAATGAGTACAGTAAGAAATCTAAAAATAACTTGTGTTGCTACAGATGAAGGATCTGAGTTCTTCCTTTTTTCCACAGAAGAGTAAAAAATACTTTGAAATTTGGCTATGCTCATCACTACTGAGTCAAGGGCATCACACATCAATCTGTATCATAAAAAAATAGGATAAGAGCTCCCACAAAGAAAACATTAGCTGTGTTAAGTTCTCAGGAGAGAGAGAAAAAAAGAAAAAAACTAAGGAAAAAAGGAGTGTGGCTATCCACTTCTCACTTATGCTAAGTGAACCAGTTCATCTTAATTTGTGCATACTATTACATCTCCCAAGAGACACAGCTTTGCTCTATTGTTCTGCAATTTAACTGAAAAACTGTTAGACCTCATAAAGAGAAGTTTGTGGAGGTTGTCAGAGAAGAAAACCAGAATGCATCACCTACAGGAAGCGTGTGCTACTACATTTCAACTACCTTCCTGCATCTTAGGGAAAATGAAGAACAAATACAAGGAGAAACAGTCTTCATGGACAACTGATGTACGCACGATCTTTTGGTTTTCATTACAGCATTTTAACCTAACTAGATTTTTAAGTCCAGACAGTTCTTTCTATTATTTTCTCTATTTTCACCTCCCAATTTTCCTTTACATTCTACTTTAACTTGCAATCTTGTTCAGAGTATTTTCTCTCTATAATGGTAAGCTATATCTCACTCAAAACATCCTATTTTAATGAAAAAATACAGCATATAGAATAATCTTAGAGTACACGGGAATCAAAATAATATGAATTCATAAAAATACATGAGGAACAAGAACATATACACTTTTGTTAAGAGTATTTGCCCCTTTTGTAATTGTCGCGTTATGGGTGTATTGCATTACTCGTGGCAGTAGCGTATAGCAGGATAATGATCATCAAAGCACCAAGACTGTAAATTGTTGAATTTATACCACTGAGTTTCTACAAGATAGCTTGGCAACCTCCTCTGAAGTATGAATATCTTTAAAATACGACACACATTTGTATTGCGTAAGGTTAATTCCCATGCAATAGAAGTGACATCAGCAGTATTGAACAGAGTGACCTCTAATCAACCAAATTTGTTCTGCTCTTGGAAAACTACATAAATCAGTTACCAAGGAGTCGCCAAAGTCTTACTAAGTGCTTGAAAGCTCTTCCTAAATGGAAGTAACAGAATTAAATTTAGGATGATTTTGGATACTACCGTCCAAACCCCAAACATCGAACATTACATGTAACGATGTAATGTTCAGTCCAAAAGAGGTGGGTTTATTACTGACTTCTCTAAAAGGTCCTCCCAGACGCTAATGTTATTTTACAAAAAAAGTAAAATATCTCCCCATCTTTACAAATGCCATCAAATATTATGGATAAAACAAGGCCCTTTCAAATCAATCTGTATTACTCACTTCACTCGTGAGAAATCTTGCATGAAATTTTCCCCTCACAATAGAGATGCACTGTAGCTACAAGGAAGTTATTTGTAAATGCCAGCTTCCACCCAACGTGGATGAATTCCTTGCGTTTCCTATAACCAACAAATGTTAAGCCTGACAACTTTTATTTTTTAATTCTCAAACAGCAACTGTTTACCCCCAGTAACAGCTTAAGCAGCTACTGCCCCACCCCTCCTACTGTACTGTGCTAGGAGATTTATTTTTGGCTGGGTCTGTTTTCCAAACCTGTTTACAGCATGTCCGCACAGACACACGTGTCAATACAATGGAAGGACGTGAGGGGAGAAATCCCATCAAACCACGGCAAATGCTGGACTTGAATCACGGTGTGCAGGAGGCTTCTCTCCCCTCGACTGTGTGCAGAGGGATCCCAGAGAGATTTGTTTCCCTGAGTTCCCTGTAGCCACTCAAGTGCCATTTGCATCACAACTATGAAAATGGCAGACCACCATGAGACCTCAACCACGGCAATAACCAGGCCAACAAATATCCTGTGAATCTTTTTCTGCTCTCTGTGGAAACACCTCAATTAGCTAGTTCTTTGCAGTGGAGCTGAAAATATATCATTAATCTTTAAATAAAATATGCATGTTGCACCGTTTCTCCCTTTCACAAAAGAAAGGGTTTGACTTTTAATGTGTGAGGGTTAATATGGTAACTTGAAAATTCAGTTATTGCTAGGTACTCTCAGGAACGTGAATGGTCAGAATACACAGATGAAGATTTTCACATCTTTGTATCTCTGAATGGCTCTAAATGAATACAAAAATATATTCAAGATATACAGACACAAAAAAATTCCAAGAACAAGTGAAGATGCAGCAGCCTTTTTAGAATAAGAAAATAGCAAGAGCTTGAAATGAAAGACCATATACACATAGTAGAATATATATTTAAGGAAGCTATGCTGGAGAAATTTAAATTAATTAGTTAAATCTTCTAGAGTCAAACAATTTCACTGAGGCAACGTAACTTTCAGGCTAAAGGGCAAATAATGCAGAAGTACCATACAGTACTTCAAACATGGTATTTATTATTAAAATAATGCACATGTAATATATGCAGTTTTGTTTCTTACTAAGAAATGTACTTAGACACTTCAGAAAAATAATGAGAAAAAATTTAATGTAAATTCAGTTGAAATTGGAAGAATTTAAAATAATGATTCTACTATCTGCTTTCTCACTAAAAGATTATTGAAAACCGAATCTCAAGCAATGCCTTGTAATTTCTAAAATATACTGTTCTGGAAAACTATCAAGGTTTCCAGTTACATTCCTACTGTTTAAATTCAATGTAATTAATTGTGCTTTGACTTTTTATATACATATACAAAAGTACACTTTTGTACATTTGAATTCTGAATTGCTTGATGTTGCAAGTATTTTTGACAAAATAAATTTTCTGATATATGTAAAATATGGTTGCCTTTGCATCAAGAAGCTATGCTATACCAATGAAAACACATTGCATTGGTAGGCTTCACAGACCAAAGCCACTGAATAAAATGATTTGGAACACAGCTGCTTGCAGAGATTATTAAAATTGTGGGGGGTTTTTATCTGAAAAGATTGGGAGGAGAAGACTTTGCAGAGTTCTCCCCCCTTTCCAACTGGACAGGAAAAAATTGCCTTTCTGATTTACCTAGGAAAAAAATTGTGTTGAGGGTTTCTGTGAAATCAGAAGAGGAATATTTTCCTTTAAGTGTGTGTTTTCATTAATTACATACTAACCTGCATTCTTTGGGTGGTGAAATAAAAGAGAAAAAGCATTAGAAGTAGTATTTCCTATAGAAACAATTGCCTGTCAAACAAAGCATAAAAAGACAAAAGGCAGAAACACTGTTTCAGCTTGAATGCCTTAATGTCACCATTTGTCACGCAGCACTTCCTCAGAAAACCCAGAAGTACAGTTAACTCTACTCCTCTTTACACCACACACTTTCTCTGTTGGTATAGGATTAAAATGTGCCTGGCCTGACAATGAAACAGCAGAGCCATCGCACATTGTTATGCAACTCACTGTCTGCAAGGGTGGCTCGTAGCTCCTTCTTTATTCAGCAAGTGCCAAGTGCATGTTTAATCAATGTCACAGCTCACCACAGTATGCAACTAAAGCCACTGTCATTCCTCTCTTCAGATTTGCCTGGTTGAGTTATGCAATGCTCTGAAGAATACCTTGGAATTCTTTCCAGAGGCTCTGAATGCAGGTGTGTGACAGCGTTCACACTACTGCCAGCAAAGCAGACTTCTTTTCATCCTTTTTCAGGCTGGACTAAAATTACATAGTGTGACTGCACGTAGTTCGCTGCATTTGGAATTACAGCATGTCAACGTGAGAAAGCCTCTTCAGACGGCTGCCACAAAGAGTAAATCAAAGGCTGGGTTTTTCTGAAGTCTTAATAAATAACTAAGTATAACTGAATAAAACCAGGAGCTGTTTGTAATTTTTTTTAAGACAAAACAGAATAGCATGCATTTTGTTGCTCTGCATCATCGAAGGAAAAAAAGCCACAATTTTAATGGGAATTAGTCAACAGTGAGGATCATTATGAGAAAGAGCTTTACTGTTTTTCGACTACACTTGCTTTAGTGGATTACTGAAAGAGAACACCAGTCATTTGGAAGATTCTGTAACGTTATTATCCTCACCGATAAACTTCATCAAGAAACTGCTTGTGCTCCTATCTGATCTGTCTGAGTGAGGAGAGCAGCCCCTTCATGAAGATAAAAGCCTGGCTTGCCACTGAATCGACGAGTAAGAAGCATGTCTGATGACATTTTATTCCTGATGCAATGTAGGGTAAGAAATACCTTTTATATTTTACCTTTCTGTAAGATATGCTCTGAGCTGATGGCATTAATTAGACTCACAGCAGAAATACGTTAATCTCTAATGATTAAAGATATTTGCCAGAAGAGAAAAATGCTGTTGCACTATAAAATATGATTGTAAATCTTCAGTATATTGGAGTTATGTGAAGTAGTAGACATCCCAATCAAATTTCTGATCAATAAAGCTAAAACGGCATGGCAGATTACATATAAGATCAACATCTCAGTCACCAACGAACATAATTTTACAGGGAATATGTTTCTAGAGGATATTTGACTGTAAATTAAGAGTACTAGAGCAGCTAAGTAATAGAAACGACCTGTCAACCTCACTTTTGCAACAAAAAAAAAAGATAATAAATCACATGCATCTGGAAATGTCCACCTTGAATTCCTATATTGCATAGAATTTTGCCACTGTAACAGTACTACTGTTCTTTGTCATACTGCAAAAATCAGCATATATATCAAAAACCTTTATATTTGAAGAGATACACATTATCTGTTAAATGTTTACTGTTGCATGGATGTCCAAAAGCTGATCTATTAAACATGAAAAAGGGCAAGATCTTACCTGCAATTGCCTACTTAGGCTACTGGTGAAAAACAACTGTAATACTGTTTTAAGGAGGCATATTTTACACATTTGAAAACAGCAGGCATTACCATTCTCAACTGCTTTTGTACCATGGAGTTAAATATTTAAGAATGGTCGAAAATGCACATAACCTCCCCAGGCATTTCAGAGTATTCCACAATGCTCACATACCTGCTTTCATCAATTTCATGTTTTGTAAGGAAATAAATTATTTGGCTAAAGAGAAATTTTAAATTTCTTTTATAATAAAGCATAACTGGCTTGAAGCACCAAGCTATTTTTCACTCCTATCAAATCTGTATCTACAGAACAATTATTTTTAACATGGAAAGAAAACAAAAAGAAAACAAAAGATGAATGCAACTGAATAAACACAGCATTAAGAAATGTTGTGTAAGAACTACAGAACTGTTTTTAAAAAGATCAAAGCTCGCATGTTTGTCAGACCAGATTTACCATTTGCTTTCTTTTTTCTAGCTAGCTGCCAGAATACTGGTGAAGGCATTTGCAGGAAAAATGGGGACCTCTGCCATCACAACACTGGAAGATGTAAAAAGGCAAGAGGAAAAGGAGGAAAAAGAAGAATCTATTTTAGCACTGCTTGGAATCATTGGAACTGTGCTCAATTTATTTGTTATTGTTTTTGTGTATATCTACACTACACTTTGATGACATTTTTGAATATCAATTGCACATCACACAGTGCAAAGACCTGCGATGGCAAGAATGATTTCTAAATTTAAAGCAAAAAACCTCCACTGTCTGAAAGGATTATCAAATACATTCCAGAGCAAAGTGTCTGGCTAAGGGTGCTGATAAATGTCTCTGTAAGCCCAGTTGGAGTGCTACATTATGTAAATGAAGGCAGACAATATTCAACTTGTTGTTGGCAACAGATGAAATCCAAATAGCAGGATCAGAAATGGCACTTTTTTACTGCCAGCAAACATGCAAGATAGAAATGTAAGCAAACACTGAAAATAATCAGAACAGAGAAAGACATAAATTAAATATATAAACAAATATAAGCAAGCCCCCATGATGCTTTCTGTGGTTTTATGCAGTATGTCTCTTCATAGCTGAGACCAGAAAACAGACAAAAAGGGGTTTATTTTTAGACCACCATAATTTAGGCTTATAACTTACATTAATGTATGATAAGTGTGGAAACAGGAACACTGTTGTACCACAAGTTGTAATACTATAAATAAAATTTTAACTATTGACTATATTCTGCAGCATTTTTGTTAGTCTTGTGGAAAGCTGAAAAAGGTTAGACTTTCTTGCCTTTACTAAATCTGTATTTGAAATCATCATGCTATACAGACAATGTGCTTTTCTAATTAAAAATCCTTTAAAGTGGTGTGAAAAAATAAAGAATAGTTTTAGTACTTCTTTTAAGAAATATTAATAACTATGACACACTAATACATATTCTCTAAATGAAAAAAACTTAAATTACATTTTCTATATTGCCATTTTTTGAATGTGCTTAACAGACGTCAAATACAATTCTCATGTTTTCATCCTGATGCTTATTTCCACGTAAGACATATCACACAAGGATTCAAGGTGTCTCATGGAAAACAGGTTTAATAACCTTTGTCCAGAAGACTGTACTCTCCCTTTCTGGACGAGGTCCTGAAGACATTTTCCCTTTTTGCACTGTTTATGACTGAGGCCCAAAATTGCAACTTTTACGCATACTTCATGGAATGTCCAATTTACTACTTGAAATTGATGAAATTATTTCCACATTTTAAATTAAACCTACATATGTCTTTGAATTAGATCCAAAGCTGCAGATAGTCTAAGATCATAGAAGTTTTCGTATATGTGATTTTATCTCACATACATCCTATAAGACAAAAGTTACTTTTGAGAGCTTAGGATTAAAAACACAGTAAATAAACACCACCAAAAAAAAAACAAACAAACAAACAGCAAAACCAAAACACCAAGAAATTGATTTTAATGAATACTTTTCCTACTATTACATGTGCCACAGTGGAACAATGGAACAGCTGCATTTCTAAAAATCAGCTCAATTTCTTCTCCTAGGCTGCAAAGTTACATCCAGTCCCTCCATAAAACAACATGCAAAGAAATACATCACTTATATAGGTGATAGTTTATTACTGTATAGAATTTCATAACTGCTAAACCAGCTGAGCCTTTGGAAGTCACTTCGAAACAAGCACATGAATAAGATAAGGTCAGGGATCTAGAACAGAATGAATTTGGCAATGATATTTCAGTCAGCTGCAGAAACCACACTGCAACACTGATTTATGGATGAATGAGGTAGAAGATGGTATATTCTGGTTTTGCAACTCTGAGTCAATCCTGGCTCAACCAGAAGAAATGATAAACACAGCTGAGGCTGCACTGGAAGGAAGCACGTGCAGACAAGAAAATTTATTCACTATCCATAGTCTACAGCAAGTCTCTAGTAATGTATACTTATTTTTAGTATATGAAGCACCAAAGCATTCTGTAAAACTAAGCTACATTCTAGAGAAATTATGCAGGTTGCTAATGTTTATTTAATACTACAGAAGAGATATAACCATTATTAATTTTTTCTATGTACTTCTTATATCTACATACTTATGGATATTATTGCATTAATCTCATAATACAAGGATATTTGAGATGGGTCTTAAAATGAAAGGTTACAAGAACCTGAAAACTGAAATTCAGGTAGAAATTACTGCTGTTTATTTTGATCCTGAAGTTATTTAAAACTTGTAGATTCTGTGAAATAAATAAACAATTTTATTTCATACCATTTCAGTGCACAGCTCTCTTCTCAAAATTGTGAATCAACTAGTACACCAGCATTGGAGTGAAAAACAGCAACTTTTTCTTGGTAAGCATTTCAACAGCAAAATAGATAAAAAACAATCCCAAAGTTATAAGCAAATGTGGCAAAGGTTCAGCATTATTCTTTTACCAATGAATGAGTTCATTAACATTAATGAAGACTAGGAGAATTTTTAATTCCAGTAATTATATACTGTCTATCTAAACTGCCACTGTACTTCCAATTTCATTTACAGCAAAGACCTTGACCCTTTGAAGGAAGTCAAAGGGTAACATTATCATTAGATTGCCCTAGCATACAAGTTATATTTTGTTTTAAAACAGCAGTCCAGTATTCTCTCTCAACAGGTAACACATGTGCTCTATTCTCATGTGGACCTATGTCTAACTCATATGTAAAATGAGCTCTGATATACCACTCTGGTGCTCATACATTTAATCCAATACATGCATAAAATCTCAATAACAACAAAAAAATCTTAATATCAACTTCCTCTCTTTATGCACAGTAAAAAGTCAATAGTCTAGGGAAAAGCATGGTTGTGTGATGATTCAACATTTATGCTGCAGCAGCACATCACCAGTGATGGACAAATTAAGAGCTCAGTGTACCAGCTTTAGGGTACTCAACTTAGTTCAGTGGAACTGGACTATTTGCAAAAGTAAAATAACACCATATAATGCCCTGAGAATAAATATGATTAATAGAAAAGAAGTACTCTACCTTCAGCAGGCAAACTAGTCTAGTTGAAGCTCTGAGGTAAGGAGCCAAGGCCTGAACAGTATGACTTTTATGGATGCAACTAACAAAGGTACATCAAAAGAGGCAGAAAAAAGAATTCAGTACATTCACATTCAATGTATTTGTCCATAGTACTTACTAAATAAAGTTCACAATGAGGTGTTTGGCAGCAGGATAGAGCAGCACAACTTTTTGTTAATGAATCTACAGGTCCATGGTGTGGCAGTACTTGGTAAACTATGAAAGGTGCATTGGAAGCAAATATTGGACTCTCATGAAGTGAAACATGCTGGTCAGTAAACAAAATTCTTTCAGCAAAGTTCTCCCACAGAAATGCATCGTCTCTTCTCAGCAGTCAAACTCAGGGAAGACGGAGCTAATCTAACATCACAAGCTATGCTGATCACATCACACAGACTCTTTGTCCACTGAAGAAGGAAGGGTGGATAAAAAAAGGAGCATGCAGAAAACCTCACCTAAAATCACAATACTGCCTGCTTTCTGTAAGCCTGGGAATTCAAGCAAAGAGAATTCAAGCAGAATTCTACAATTTGATATGAAGTCTGTTTTCCAAGGAAAAGGTGGTATCAAACTTCTCTCAATATTTGACTTTAAACACGATTCATTTATCTCAGGATTTGCTAGATAGTAGTTTAAGGACAAACCAGTACAACTATATTTTTAAGCAAGAAGAGCCTACCTAATTGTGGTATCACTGACAAAATCCCAGCTTCACTGGGCTTTTTACTGTCCAAGCCCATAAAAAAATATACAGTCCTTGTCCTAGAAGTCACTTGATTTTCTTTCTCTCTGTTTCATGACTCCCTTCCACTGCCTTATCTCTATAAACCTTGTTAGCTAAAAAGAGTATTATAAATGCTCCTTTCTTCTTTCCCACTTGAAAATACTAGCTTATATTAGTCTTCATAAACCGAAGTCCATCAGTCAAGTAACTTACTTTTATCAGCAAAATCTAGACCTTCAAGATAGCCATGTACTCCAGTTAGAATCTGATGGTCAAATGTTTGCTAGGAACCTCTTGTTGCACAGTGCAAATTTTATTGCTGTGCATTTTGCTCAAGGAGAGAAGTGTTCACATATTTGAAAGAGATTCAATAGCAATAATTCTTTCAAACGAAATGTGCTAGATACAAGAGAACAGTGAAAAGGTCTTACATGACAGCTTTTGGGGTATGATACAGAAGTTAAGAACTACATAAATTTTACACATGTAAATATGAATTAAGCCCTTAATAAAAAACACAGGCATAGTAAAAAAACCTCACCATGTTGCAAAGATAAACTTTTTTCATTTACAAAATGAGAGATAATAAAAGCCATGGTAATGCCATAACAAGATATGAAATAAACGCAAAAAAATCATCAAGAAACAGTGAAGATTACAGCAGTTACTGCTCCTTGTGACTAGAGCTCTCTTGCATAATAGGAAAGTCCTTCATAGATAAACCTTCCCTCTCTACAAGAAAAAAGCAATTATGGAAATTAATGAAAGTGGTTAGTTCACAGTTTTCAAGGACTTCACAATCACCTCACTCTGATGCAGATGAAGCGTCAGAACGTATCAGAGCAATCTGGTTTGCACTCATCTGGTTCAAGGTGAGGTTTCTAACAGATTAAATGTTATGTGAGCACTCCCTATCTGATCAATATTATTTTAATCTACAACAATCTAGATAACAATCTAGTCCATGTATGTTATGGGTAAATTAAGCACGATGGTAAAATATAGTCAAGCAACAAAAAACCTAGATAGATTTCTAACTGTGACATAGGCCAATCTGTCAAAACAGTCTTGCAAGAAGGATGTACCATATCTGTAGCTAACTGAACATATGAAATCAAAATATAAAATTCACATCAATACCAAAATACTTACTATCTTATATCACCACAGTGTTAGCAGCCTACTGTGCAAGAAAAGGAACAGCACGCCAGCAGCCTCATTGCACGTATCTATCACAATTTTTTCCCACATAATTGTATGTATATGGCACATACACAGATATGTGAAGATCACTGTTATTGCAACCATCAACAACAAACCCTAAAATCTAGTAGAAGAATAAGCATAAGGCTAACCTTTAACTGGTCCCACCAGCACCCATTAAAGTCTGAGAAAGTTACAGAGGTGCTGAAAATTGCTTATTTCTGTTACCATTGTGCTGGGCACAGGTTGTTGCTACTGGGGTGCCAGAACCTGGGAACATTCTGTTAGGATTCTGTATGCAGTATCCTAATTTCTCAGACTAGCATGTTACAGGAAGAATAGAGTCACCTGCTCCTTCCACATGAAAGTACCTCTTGACAGCAGAAGTTGCACCAGTATGAAAATTAGAATACTATGTACATGCATGTCACTACTGATGCTGTTCCCTTTCCTACTCTCCCCAGGCTCCTATTCAGCCTTACCAGAGAAGAGACGGGTATTCAAGACAGAGAAGCCAGAAATTAGATAAAGGTCTATCAGGAAAGACTCAAATCTATTCTACTACATTGCACTGGTCTTCAAGGTTTCAAAAAATAAATAAAAATAATACTACTAATAAAAAAGTAATTTCCATATTTGAAAGGTTTCAACTATTAAGACATTAAGTGAAATTTTCAGTCTTACAAGCATTGTACCAGAGCTTAACATAACTTCAGAGCTTCTCAACCTCTGTCTTGCTTGTGTTAGCTGTGTCTCCTGACACTCAACATTAGTGACACTGAGAGCCCCACATCATGTGCAACTTGCACTCATTAATGTGAAAATTATCTGTCTGCTTTTGAACTGAACAGTAATTACTGCATTGGAATTATGCCTCGCATATTATCACTAAGACGAACTGTTTTCAGGGACTCCTTTCCAACTAAATGCATCTGGCTCAAATATTAACTCAGAGAAGATGATCCCTCCAGAAGTCATCGTTTTTGCAATTTCCCTCTAATACTGGTATCCTATGGCAGTGTCAAAGACGAGCTTGACTAATATATGCCTGTAAAGTTATTATTATTTTTTAAATCCAGGAGAACATTGTTAATCACAGTTTTATGTATAGACTTTTGAACAAATACAGCAGGAAACATTCACATAACAACCCTCAGATTTTACAGTTCTAAATTTCAATAGAAATAACCACATCCTTTGTGAATTTGTATTCAGAAGAGTAGTTTTCATTTTTTTCTCTCTGAAAAGCGAGGTTTTGCTTTGTTTTAATATAGTTTAGCTGCTACATTAAGTGCTGTTCACTCTTTACTAATTGGTAATTCACAGGCACAGCAATTCAACATCCCCTGCCAACCACAAACAGTAGTCCCACAATGGAAAACATACCTAAAATGAATATTTCTCACTGAAACTTTTCTGTTTCTTTGTACTTTGGGAAAACAAACGGTACCTGAAAGCCAAACTAGTCTGAACTTCTCACCAACAGCCACATATCTCATCTCTTGTATCAGTATCTGACTGTTCTTCCCCAGTTAAAGGTGACTTATACAGAGAGATACACTCTTCTATTGAAAACAGCAAAAAGCAATTTCAACAGCTGTGATTCATCTATAACTCAGGATCAACAGCTTCATCCTTTAGATAACACATCATTTTTGCCAGGCCTTTCAATGACTTTTCCTTTTTACCTCAACGAAGAAGAATTTGTGAGTATCTGTTAGAAAGATTACTTCATTCTTTTACTTTATCATTTACTTTATTATTTTACATTGTATTTTCATTTGCAATAATGATCCTGGTATATCATTAGTTCATTTTCCTCACTGCAATATGTGCAAAATAAAACCAATAAATTCATCGCAAAACTAGGGAGAGGTGTCAAACTGTGGACTAGCAAGTGAAACACCTTCATATTTTTATTTTTACTATAATACCCCAGCAGACGTTTTGAACTAGTTCCATTCCATCATACAAGATTATGTAATGCCCTAGTTACTACAAATTAAGAGAGCCATTCTTACTTTAGTCCTAAGTAGCTTTACAAATACTTAAGACAGAGATGATTTCTCTTTTACCTCTGACATAAAACATATTGTGTAATTCAAGAAGAAGCTATAACATTGTTTCATGAATTCATATCACCAAACCCTCCAACTGGCACCCAAAAGAACTGCAGTAATGTGACAAGACATTCATCAGTTACTCCAAAAATAGGGCAGGCAAAATAAGGTCCAAACCCAAATTATTCAGATTTGGAACAACTCCTTCTGATAGT